ATGTGGTCGTATTTTGTGGTTTAATCCTTCGAGTCATTAACGTTTATCGCATGATTGAATATGTATATGGTACATTTGTTGCTTTACAAATTCATTCGAATATGATTATGAGATAACGATCGCAGATGAGTATCACAATTGATAAAGTAATGATGAGAACAAAGCTCAATACAATCCACATCCCTGTAAATTCGCCTGAATGATCATGTCAATAACACTGTCCAGGATCATTTGAACTTGATTCGTATCTGTTGCACAAGTCTGATGCATATAAATTGTCTTCTCGGGATTGGCGTTCAGCCCCTCGAATTTCTCCTCAATGAATCTAACGGAATCCTCGTACGTTTGCGGTCCTTAAAATCAAATGAACTTCGTATTATTTGTCCCATCTATTAATGCTATTCGCTTGTGGTGACATTGCTGTTCATTGCAACAACATCCGAATCAGTTTGAAATCGATCTATTAATAGAGTGACATTTGATTCGTGCCATTAATGGCAAATAATACATTGGAATAATGAAATGCTTCGACTTCATTGTTCCGTTTAAATTCAAATGTTTCGCTCAATTTCAGATGGTAATTCATTAGCAGGATGAGGATAAAGTTCACGAAAAGAGATATTATAAAACGGAACGGAATGGAGCCACGATGAGATCTCATGGAATTCGGATCGACGCAAAGTTTTTAAACCTTTGAATTATAAATGTGCGATGAAAGGAAAACGATTAACATATTATTGAATATCCAACATTTTTTTGACTGAAACCAAATAATTGAAGACGACGATAACGAACCTTTATATTCGGGAAATGCGATTTTAATGGATGTTTTCTTGATTTTTTCCAGGAATAAATCTTTCTTGTTGAGGAATAAAATCATCGAGGTATTAATAAACCATCGGCTATTGCAAATAGACTCGAACAATCGCATACTTTCGATCATACGATTCTGAATTCTTCCAAAATAAAAATTATCACTTTTATAGCATCTCAGCTTCAATTCAGTGATGCTCATTGTCGTTTGATGTCTACGAAAAATGTTCTCATCCACAAGCTGATACGCAATATGGTGAAATAATTAAAATGAAAATTGAATGTTCCCATATTTTTCAACATCATATTACTCAATGAAATAATGATTCAGAGCGTTCGAATGCAAAAAATATTCATGATAAGTAAATGATTCGAAAAAATTTCAAAATTAAGCAATAAAAGACAGTAATTCGATCGATACGTGCATCAATATGAGTTATATGAAGATGAGTTGCGATCGGTAATGAATCTGGCTAATATGAATCAAACAAACAAACCGTTGTTTCGTCTTCGAATAAAACTTGATCGTATTCACTGATTGCGGCGATGAATATAATTGCGTTCACATCTTCGAAGCAATGAATCCATTTTTTACGTTCAGATCGTTGTCCACCCACATCGAACACCCTCAATCAATCGTTCGTTAGATCAACTGATTCTTCGGCTAGCCATAACGGATGTGCTCGCTGGCACATGAACAAAATATGGGCAGAAAATTCAGATCGCCTCTTTCTGACCAGCATGATCAGTTGGCAAGCAAGCCCGAAATGGATAAGTTCGAGCATAAGCAGCTAAAAACTTCCTTTGGACAAGCAGCCAGCATTACAATTTTTGTTATAAACTCCACTGGCCCCAAATCTGGCTAATTTGAATCTATATAATTACTTTCAACCCATTTGAGATAGTGAAGCAAAGCGAAATTCTGGACTTGTCTATCAAACCGCAGCTTCCAAGCTTAAATTCACCTACTCATAACTGTCACTTGTTCAGGCTTACACTAATGCTCACTAACCTCAGCGGAAACGCATATTTTTTCGCATTTTGAATTTAGGCGATTGAAAAATTGGAAAAGGTTTTTTCGGCTTAGAATATAATGTTTTCCATACCAAAAGAATTCAAGAAAAAAGCAAAACACGATCGGCTATGTGAACATATTCACCGAACTACCTCTTGGTAAAAAAACAAAACAATTGTGGCTACAGAGAAGTGAGGAAGATATGCGAGAATCACAACGTTTCCACTGTCATGATATCAGATATCAATACGGCAACAAACACGGTGCTGAAGAAGGCATTGCGAGGTACAAGCGCATAATGAATTGGGAAGACGGAGAACATGGAGTTAAGCTAACAAAGTATTCGCAAAGTTCTGTGTTTAACTAGAGCTGGTTGAATAACTTCACAGATATCGTTGAACGAATTCAGTAGAGTGAGGAAATGATTCTTAAATGGAACGGAAATAGTGATGCTAACCGAAAATCAACGTTTTTCATTTGGAATTTCACCTCTACGATACCCGTTGTTTTAATTCGACTCAGCAGAATGTCCTGTTCGGTAGGCTTATAGTCTGATGCAGCGATTCGATCGATGGAATCCAAGAAACTGCAAACGAATATTCTTTCACTTCGAATGGAATCGAGTCCTCTCACTTTTTTAATGATTCCAACAATTTGAATCAATTAAGAGATCAGCATCTTTTCAATGATTTCTTACGGACAAATTCACTCAGAGTGATCTCGGTTTTTCATAGCGAAGAATGCAATTATTATGAAGGAACTGACTAGCTCGCAGATTCAGGCAACTGGAATTCATTTCCTCGACCATACGCATCCTTGCTGACACCTCTATCTGACCAAAGACTTTTGAGCGCTTTTGCCAGTTCAGCAGTTAATGGCTCTGATTCATTGCCAGCCTTGACCACGTCCAAAACAACCCTTGCGTCCGTCTGAAACGCTCAAACACTGATATCAGTTCACAACAGTTTGGAGAAGTCGCTTAGTTGACAGCGTTGGCAATGCTGCTCGAATTCATCATTGTATCAGTTTATGCTGCCATGTTAATGCGCTACACAACGCATGATTTGTAATACATGCTTGATGAATACAATTCGTTTGAGATATTCACGTCACATTACTTGATGGCTAATCGCTAGTTACGTTTCTAATCTTTACGTCGTTATGTTCTCTTAGTCAAGACTCTGCATGAATAGCGCCTCCAAGAGAGTGTGTTATCGTTTTAATTGGTACGCGGTCAATCTGACTAAAGACATTTTGCCTAACGACAGTTGCCTAAAGACACATTGCCTAACGGACAGTTCGCCTAATGGACAGTTTGCCTAATGGACAATTTGACTAACTTACGGTTTTTAATGGATATCACCTAATAGGCAAACTGTTCCTTAGGCAAACNCTGTCCGTTAGGCAAGTGTCTTTAGGCAAACTGTCGTTAGGTAAAATGTCTTTAGGCAGATTGACCGGTCACGCTTTCAAAACATAATCTAAGGTGACTGAATCCGCAGATGATCTGAATGAACGGAACTGAGCACAAATGGTCATGATAGAATGGGACTAAAAAAGAACGTGATTGCATCGAGCATAAACAATTTTTTCAGTGAAGTGATGATGACACTAATGACCTCTCGTTGTGGGTTTTCAAGTGGAATATTCAACGTTTTCATTCCTCTCAGCAATGACGCCATCGCTTGCACTGTATTATTATAGATAACCGCTTTCTGTTGAAGCATCTCTTCCTCTGTGAAGCCATGTGTGTGCAATATTCTGAAATTCAATTAGTTCAGTGCAGCGGTATTCACATGTAACTGATTACCATCTGATCTAATGCCGATCAGTCATATTTATCAGTCAAACAGTCTTCGAAAAGGCATGCTTGGACTAATGCTGATTGATTCAGCATGATAAAAGTTGCATGAATGTTTTAACCCGAGCAGAAAAAATGATCTCGACAAAACTCTCATCCTCATTATTGTTGTATTATCGTTTTAGCTGGCTAATGCTCGACGTCTCATTAATTCTAAATGGCTCATTTTTCGACGTAATCAACTGGATTAGGTGATAACGACAGAGCCATTTGAATGGAAAGTTGCAATTAACTGTAATCAAGCAACTTAAAAATATCATTCCTGACATAGGAATTAGTGTCAGCACTCAACAGCTATATTTCATAGCATTCCGTGACAAGGGTCCAATTGACCATAAGTTTATAACCACTAAATGAGATCGTTCTCATTATCAAATGATCTGCAAATGTATTTCCATTTGGGATTGACCTCACGACTACTGATCAAAATTGAGCCTGAATGACTTCTTCACAACGCTGTCTCAAAAAATATTTCTTGACTGAGTCTCACAAAATATTTCGAAGTTTCACGAAGCATAAAAAGCAAACCTCATTTGTTTCAGAACTGTACTTTTACCACATTCACCAGCACCTTAATACGGAACATTAATTTTTAAGAGATAATTCAATTTTATGGGTGTGAAATAATTTGAAAGTAAATATTTTCCACTTATACAGTTATTCGTTTTTTAACTAAAATTCAGTCATCAGAGGATGCATCCTAATCGTGAGCAATGAAAGAATCAGCACAAGAGGAAAATCTTGGATGTTTCTCGAATCCACTCCTCTCAGGTCTAAAATTTTTCCTCTCTCGCTGGAACATCATTCATTCAATAGCAATAACCGTCGTTTCGAAGCAACTCTGTTCGAAAATTTTCAAATTTTCAATATGCAAAACAATACCAGCTCAACTTATAGCGATTTGACAGGGCCACTTCAGAATCATCCTCCGATAATCTCACAAAACTTCTCGGATTCAAGCATACTGGCTGAGTGGTTCTCAGCTGATAGTCATATCGAACTATGCAACCGGCCGATGTCACAACTTCCTTGTCCACTCATAGACTTGACTAAGGTATGAAATTCAGAAAAAACTGCATTGTCAACCCACCGAATACAAAATTTCCCACGTAACTATTCACTCAAAGCAGAGGAGAATGAGGTTAACTCATGCAATTTTTATCACGCAGTATAAAGCATTCTCTTTCGTTTCTGATTTGCACTTAACGAATGCTCGTCGTTGCAATATGTGAATATGCTTCTAGATTCAGTGCTCTTATTGAATTCAAAACGTAACTTTAGCGAAAACACATCATCATTTAGGTTCATTTGTCGAATAGGAATTCAATATGAAGCAAGTTAAATGAAAAACGAATGTATCAAATAATAACGATGCACCTCTAACTGAATGAATTAGCATGGAGTTCGTAATTGGATTGTACAACGAATTTTAAACTTCCTTTTTTGCAACAATAATGCATCGTACTGAATGAATGAAAAACATGATTCATTTCTTTGTTTGCTTATTAATTGTAAGGATGGTCATGCAGAATGCGAATGTATCAGAATGATGTGCTGCGAATGTGAAATATGATCAGTCATGTATCATACATAATTAATCATATGAAAGAAATTGCAAAATCAAAACAACACCAATTTGGTGTTATGTTGAAATGGCAAACAATGGAAACGTTACCTAGCAACAGCAATTTGACGACCTTCTGTTGCGCGATATGTCCTTGCATCATCTCTTTATCAATCGCCTTACTTTTTTGCGCTAATGTTTTCTCCTCTTGACTTTGACATAAACCCATGATGTCAAATGATCTTCTGTTTGAAACTTCAAGTACCCTTTTTTTAATTCCCCGAACTGAAGCTGTTCCAAATGAATTTACTGGATCACTTATTCGGCTTCTGAAGGAACGAATTCCAAATCGCACGCGATCGATCTCGAAATGGCAATTGAATAGTCACGGAACGTAAATAAAGATACGTTGGTGTCTGGCTTATAACGGTAGAACACAGCGAAGCCGCAGTTAAATCTCAACGGTGGCACTACCAACGGTGACAGTGATTTATAACAGCCACGTTCCTTGATGACAGTGATAATTATGAATTCAGTGCAGATAANTCACAAATTATAGCCAGTGCATAACAACCAATCGTTTTTTCACATGTCATCAGTAATATTCATCAGCATATCAGCACACACGCAAACAAATGAATTCCAGTTAAAATGCAATGATATGGCAACGTCGATGAAACCGAATGAAATCAGCCGAAAACGTACAACAGATCGAATAATCAAATAAAATTGCAATTTTCATCAAAATAGCACCAAAATTCACAATCGAATATCAGACACCTTTTCAGTACACCTGAAAAACCGTGAATATGATCGAATGCCCAAACAAACGAGATTTACACGCCAGATTAACGTAGGCGTATCGGACAAACAATAAAATTTTATTGCGGTGTTAATTTGAAAATATGAGGTGTTTGAATGTGACATGGGATCAGTTATGAGCGAGATTAGGAATGGAATTATTTTGAAGAAAGTTCAAAATCAAAACGATTTCAATTCATAAAAAAACTCAATTAGAATCGTTTGCGTTCGACAGACATATTACGACACCTTATTAGGATCATTACGTTCAATATAACATCACAACTAAGGTGATTCGTTGAAATCATTGTGAGATTATTTATGAGATTTGTTGAATATGAGCATTGATGGCGATCGCAACTGCATCATAGCCTCACTGTTACATTTGAGTGCGATTTGACATTTAATTGCGAATTCATTTCATTCTACTCGAAACTAATTGCAAACTAATTTGAATTGGCTGTAAAATGTACTGAACTTCGTAAATGACGGACAAATGAGAAAATCAACTCGNTCATACCAAACAGTTTGCTTGCTTGCGCAACACAATGAGTGTTGTTGTTGCAAAGAAAACGGTGTTTACGCATGGAAGCAAATGGTTAGCAACAAATCAGATCATCGCGAAATTCTTCGAAGAGCAGAGACTTTTGCAGTGATTTGCTAGAAGTGAGTCGAACTTTGGAAGTTCAAATAATGATCAGCTACCGAGAACATCCTTCTTCACATTCTATCCACAGCTTTCAGATTTATTCTTGTTTGATTCTTAATTTGCAGTTTTTAAGAACAACCCATGCTAATAATTTATTAAACGAGTTGATACTAAAGCGCACAGTTTTTAGATCGTATTAATGGAGTAGATAAAAATGCATATAGTTCTCTTTGAGCTTGACAAAGTTAACTGCAACAGCTGTACGCACTTTCTACAGCTGCAATTTTTTGGGGGCAACACTGATTTGAGCTAATCGCTCAGGCGTATATTACAAGGTATACAAACTCACAAGGTATACAAAGTTACTCAAAGGTACGAATTACACGGTATACAGTTCTCCAATTGTTCATTCAAACTCACATTAGAAGAATCAATTTTTGAGGCTGTCTACAAAATCACAATATTCATGCAAGTTTGACTGTCTCAAAGTGATTATTAAGGAACATTCTTTGATCTTGCACATATCAGTAATGCCCGTGATATGCATGACCAATGTTCGGCAGTATAAAGAAATTGAATATGGAAGCACACGAGTAATTCTTAGTTCAGAATGCTCTTGTTGGCCTTATATAGCATCATCTCGAAACGAATACGTGAATCGTATACCAACGTATTCCGATTCACCAACGGAGTTTCAGATACTCTGCTCGGAATTCAAATCCCGCATAAATGCAGCGGAGAAAATTACGAATGCAGCTTCAAAACCAGTTCATATCAGTTATCGCACATGAGCAGCGATTATCATTCGAAGATGCAGATTGAGGCTGAAATCGAATGGCCGAGAGCAGGCAGTCATTGAGCAGAATGAAGAATGAGTAATCGGAGTGGAATCAGTAGCAAGAGGTTATTTTGGGAAAACGTCTAAGCGCGTGAAATTTTCGGTTTTTTGTGAAAAATGGGATTGCATATGCAAGATTTTGGTTCCTATAGGAAAAGAAAAACAATAGTGAATATTTGACATTGAGGTTTTAATTTGAGAGCTATTACGATAGTGTGTCGTTAGCAGCATCCAATGTTGTCCGACTGAGAGATTGATGTTTATATATATTAGCATCGGATGAACTTTCAGGTTGCATTTTTGTTTTGTCACTGTCGAGTAGGCGATTGTAGTTCTCGGCTAGTAGGATGTGGTTGTGGTGTAAACACGAGAATTATATTCATTCTGACGAAAAATCAGTAGTATGATGATTTGAAGATGATTAAGTCAGGGAAGTGGATACTGTGGGAATAGTTAAATAAAGAGACAGGAATGAGATGGATAGTTGCGACATTGACACCTTTAATTAAGCCTGCCTTATTATTTAGTTACTGCGAACATGCCCACTTTCCTGCCCTCATCGTCATATTGTTGTTCTTAGCGTTTCCGTTTAAACAAGTGTAATTTTTGTGTTTAATTGCTCGTTAATCGCCGAAAACTTCAAGCGCTTTCTCGATATCTGGGGGCTGAGCGTGTCGGGGGGAAATGATTAGTAGAAATTGGAAATTTGTCTTTCAAACAGCGAGGCGAGTTTGTTCAACGATCGTTTGATCATTAAGACGAGGAAGTTATTAACTGCGCATTAATAAGTGCTTTTTCGAAAGTTTAAATTATGTGACGAGTTGAGTGATAGTTAATAAGTTGTCAATAAAATTGTACCACAGCTATTGTTCGCAAATCTTCGCGACACGAACAGTGACGCAGTTTTAGTGGTATACTGGACAAGAAGTTCAAGTGGAAATCTTTCATCATCCCAGTGATCGTGTGCATCATCATCCACACCAGCAATGAGGTTCTCATGTCTAGTGCCAGTTCGTTAATCAGTTCCTCTGAATGCATTTCCATCATCACCTTATCAGAACTCGTAAAATGACCGTGTCGAGGATTAGCCATATTTGTGAGGCACTTCACCATATTTGAAAGCGTTTTCATGCGGAGAGACTCGAAGCGAAAAGTTTCAGTTTGTTTCATCATTTGAAAACCGAGTTTCGTGAAGAAGATCGGAATTTTCTAAGTGGAGTAATTAAGAGTTGATGTCTGAATGATCTGATGTGTACAACATACAAGATCAATAGAGATGCGTTATTGAGTTTTAATGAGTTCCAGAGAAAATAGAAATGCATGAAAAAATTCGAATGTTTACGTTCATTTGGCCATTAGCAAAAGTTATTAACTGATAAAAAATGCGGAACCTGAGTGATGCAATTCCTAAATTACAAAACAGCGCAATTCTTGAATTGACTAATTCCCTCTCAACGCAATTCCAAACATANCACTTATGTATGCACTTAAATTTGATTCGTCGTTTCGTGGTGATAATAAGTGAACTTACGAATAATTCAAGGAAACCTAAATCAAGTTTCATTATATTGATCCGAGAAATTGCCGATGAATTTCAAATTTCACAGTCTGCTCTACTCACATTCATCTGCTGCTCCATTTTTGTCATGCATCTGCTCTAATCTTCGATTTCATTTCCAGCAGTCGCCGTCAAGCACGAAAATTCTTCTCGGCTACTCCATTTAATAAACGTCACAATAACACTAAGTAGCCGAAGCCAAGACATCGAAGCATTATACGGTAGCTTCTTTCCGGATCTGGATTGCTCCGAAGTTGCAGCCGAAGCCGAACTTTTGAAGGAGCTCGAGTGGAGCTCGAGTGTGAAGCTCGAACTAGACTGAAGCCGGAATTTAAAAAAATCGCTGAGTCAAGACCGGAACTGTGCCAATTTTTTCATTCAAATTAGGCGTTGCTGGTCACGTGTCAAAACTGTCGTTTACTATCG